TTTCATTTTTTTGAACTTATTTGAACTCCAGACTTTTTGTGTGTTCAAAATGCACCATTCAAAGCCACATCATCAATTTTCAACCCTTTCTGACTTCATTTGTTATTTTTCATGCATTCACTGATTTTTTGAGCTAAATGACCCTAAAATTGAAAAGCACTATAGATGAACTCTGAAAATGTTGAAACTTGGCATAGTATCATCATTTCACCCACATAACATGTGCTAAAAAGTTGAGAGGGTTACGGGAAAAACCGGATGCACTGTGTGCATTATATATAATTATGTGTGTCAAAAATCATTACAGATTCACATGGATAGATAAGTGACCAAATTAATAGAAGTTCATCATCACATTAAAAACAAAGTACATACATAGTTCTCATTGAACAACATATAGATCTCCAGAGCATCTAGTTAAACCATACATTGAAACTATGTAAAACCTTTCAATGCAACTACAAATGCGATCATAATCACAACCAAGGTAACAATTGATCCAACGACATAATGATACCAAGTCTCGGTATGATTGTCATATTTTCTAATCTTTCTAATCTTCCACCGCATTGCATCCATCTTGATCTTGTGATCATCGACGACATCCGCAACATGCAACTCCAATATCATCTTCTCCTCCTCAATTCTTTTTATTTTTTCCTTTAAGTAATTGTTTCCTGCTTCAACTAAATTTAACCTCTCAACAATAGGGTCGGTTGGAATTTCCGGTTCAACTACGTCCTACATAAATAAAATCTATGTCACATTGGTCGGCATAATTGTCATAAACAATAAATGAACCAAATAGTTATTAAAAGATAATATATACCACATCCGAATCATAGACAGGACGAGGGCCGACGGGGGCGGATACCAAAACCATCGCACTATATAATAACAAGCAATAATAAAAATAAGAAAATTAGACAAGTATCTATCTAAAGTAAGAATTATTTTCTTTCAGAAAGAAGATAAGAACAAGAGGCTCACCACGGTGGTGCCAGCGACGAGATCGGCGCGGGCGATCGACGACGGTGAAGACGGGGACGGGACGTGACAGACCGCTAAACCTATCAAATCTCGGGAAAAATGGAGCTTAGAGGTCGAGCTTCGAGAGGAGAAAGCTTAACTAGTGTGGCTCGGGCATTTCATCGAACACCTCATCTGCATAAGAGGTGAGCTAGAGCACCCAAATGCCCTCCCCTCGCCGGCTAGAAAAAACAGAGCACTGTGGAGTGCTCTGCTACGGCGATGGGGTATATATAGGCAACTCATTTGTCCCGGTTCATGGATGGAACCGGGTCTAAAGCTCTCCCTTCTGTCTCGGTTGGTGCCACGAACCGGGACCAATATATTTGGGCTAGGAGCGAGGCCCATTGGTCCCGGTTCGTGCCAGTAACCGGGATAAATGGGTCCAGACGAACCAGGACCAATACCCATGAGGCCCCGGCCGACCCCCTGGGCTCACGAACCGGGACGTATGCCCCCCTGGGTCCCGGTTCGTGACTGAACCGGGACCAATGGGCTGGCCAGACCTGAACCAAAGCCCTGTTTTCTACTAGTGCCACATTGCCTAAAAGACACGCAAAGACAAAGAAGACTAATAAAAAGTAACAAAGAATAAATATTATGCAATGCTCATGGCTAAAAGGATAAAAACTGGAAATCATGCATCTGGACATGTAATTGGCACAATGGGACATGATATAGCTTGATGTATGGAGATAATGTGCAACAAATGAGCTCTAAAGATGCGTAAACTATGGAGCCATAACTTTTGGGGCATCTGGTTTGCTACCACACACACGTTGACACCCTGGTCCCACCCAAAACCTTCTCCCACGCCCACACCCTCTCTGCGTGAAGCGTTTGCCTTGAATTCATGCCAGTCAATACCGCTCCAGAGAGTCAGCGCCGCATTCATGCCAAACTAGAGTGGACACAACCTCTTACTAGAGCCGACACTAAAGCGACGCACCGGCCGAGAGCATTGCCCGTGCCAGGTGCCGCTCTCTGTGCCTGCTCAATGCCAGAGAGACTTGACTGGACGACTCTCTCCGCATTCAAACCGGTTGCCCATCCATCCTCATGCCGCCATTGAACAAGCGCGGCTACCAAGAAACCAACTCTGGTGCCCGTGTTTCACACAACCCCTTGCTTGACCCGACCGACGTCCACTTTTTATGCATGGTCAGGCCCGACATGATCCGCACAACACCAAACGCCACTCCCAATCTCCTCCGTACATCACATTTGTCATGATCTCAAGCTCCAAAGCGCCATGTGACAGCCTCTCCATCGAACAGCAGCAGGAGCTGGTCGGCATTCCAGCTGTCTGGCAGGCCCGTTGTGCGAGCCGAATAGAGGCTGGCTTGATGGTGAGCTCGCCGGAGGATAGCGACGTGGACGAGATGTTAGACAAGGCGTACAATGACGCATCGGTGCCACCGCCCTCGCCGGTCCACGCCGGCATCGCATTGGAGCAGGCACGAGCGCACTTCGACGCCGTACTGGTGAAAGAGCACCAGGTGCCGCCACTGTCGGTGTCCCGGCAGGCGTAGTAGGAACGAAGCTACAACCTTCGGCTCCTCGACAAGCACCGGCTCACAAAGGAGCATATCATCGTCGAGTAGGCGAATGATGATGATGTCATGATCATGGTTGTGGAGGATCCAGGCTTTTTGGATGAGCAACGAACGCTATACCAGTCCATGCACAGCACACACAGAGATCTGTCGCGGGCGATGGTGGCTGCGCGTGCTGCGGGTGGAGAGGGACGCCTTGTTCGCGGAGATTGACACGGAGGTGGCCGAAGAGGATACACAGGCGACCGACCTATCATGGACGGTGCCAACTCTGTGTTGACCACGCCGCCACCGTTGTTCGCGTCCCACCGACACGACCAAGATGCTGGACCATCCACGTCAGACTCAGGCGAGGAAGAGTATCACATGGGACACCACTATGGCTTGGGTCCCAGGAAGGCCACTCCTATTCTCCTCCTCCTTCGATTTCACTTCCCGGGGCTCAGGACCGTTGGGCTTGCCGTATACGGGGAAGATATAACATGGGATATGGACTCCGCCACGACCGGCGGTCTTTTAAATTAGGTTAAAAAGGTCTCATCCTCGTTTACGTAGTTGAAATATGTCGACCATGTAATGAATTTGATTCAGATTAAATGAAATCATTCAGTTTGCACAAAATTCATTCTCTTATTTAAATTTGCTTCGAAATACATGCGTGAATGGTTGTATGGCTGGCTTCCATATCATTATCCGCGTCCAACATTTTTAGGGGTTGGCGGGGATGCCCTGAAAGTGACAAGCCGCGTGCACAAAATTGTCCGTATACTCGGACGATGTGGCCAAGGAAGGAACCTACCGCGAAGTTTCCTGGTTCCTGCTCATCCATCACCTTTCCCATCTCGTCTCACGCAAGCCAGGCACCACCTCTCCCATCACCTTTCCCATCTCGTCTCACGCAAGTCAGGCACCACCTCTCGGGCTCCTGCTCTGCTCATAGCCATCACCTTCCCCATCCCACACGAGCTAAGCGCACACAGCAACTGCCACAGATCCGTGCCCGGCGAGCTAAGCCAGGAAGGACTCCATCGGCTTCTCCTCCTCTCCTCTCCGCAGCGAGCAGAGCAGGGGATGAAGCGCGTCGTGGGGAGCCCGGGGACATGGAGCGGCATGGCGCTGCGGCTGTCGCAGTGCGTCTTCGCCGCCGCCTCCGTCTTCTCCATGGTCTCCGGCTTCGGCTACTCCAACTACAGCGCCTACTTGTACTAATTTCATTCCCCCGCAAATGCTACTTCTTTCCTCCCCCCTTCGTGTGTTTTCTTGCAAATTCATGAGCATCACTCAAGACTCAAGTAGCATCTAGCATGCTCTCCGAGTTCTACTCTTAGGTTGGGTGAGTTTTACTCTTTCTTTCAAGGGAAATTTTTGGGGAATAAGGTAGAGACCCTTATTTAAGAGTACTCAGATGAGGCAGATTTAACGCCTTCCAAGCAGGGTGATGCTTTTTTCTCAATTGAAAACCTGGTGATTACTTCTTTGTGTGCAGTAGATTCTGAATGTTCTACTAAATCTCCTCGGCATTGAAAAAGAAAATCAATTAGGAAACTAATTCAGATGCGCAAATTTTTGGGGAACACGTGGATAACTTCTTAAGCTATATCTGCTAATCAGTCCATCGTACATACACAAGTATCTATCTGCATTTGACTTAGCACGTACGAAATACGACATAATCATGAGGCCTCCACCAACTTCCTCATTTGATAAACTCGGAATACCTTCAATGCTCTCAAATTAAGTTAGTAACTAGTATTTGTCTGGTGACCCACCTAACTAGTAGTAAATATATGGCCTCACAGGAACAAATGAAATGATGCTTCATTGGGTGATTTCCTTGTTCAAGTTCTAAGACAGTTCCATTACAGAGTTCATGCATGTCTGCAGGAGTACAAGCTCGACATTGTACATATTTATGTTTATTTGTCGATAATCTTGGGAGTTTAGTTGAACTTGAATGCTCTTTTTCATAACAAGAACTGGACATTTATTTCTGTTATCCTTTATTAATGTTTTCTGTGAATGACTACAGATACAGTTCTTGTTTAAAATGCTAGTTGCGACATTTCAATCTTCCAGTGGTATTGGGAATCCTGATTGTCAGCAGTGTCCCTTTGATTCCCAATAACACTGGAAAAATTAAAATGCTGCAGCTCGCATGTTTTATGTGTCAACATGCATGTCCTGATTGTGTGCTGGTGTTTTTTTTTTGAAAAGGGGGACTCCCCGGCCTCTGCATCAAAGTGATGCATACGGCTGTCTTATTAACCAAATAAAGCAGTGCGAACATGGTTCCAAGGTCTTCAAAAGTAATGAAAAAGTAAAGAAAGCTCACACAGAGCCAAAACGGGCTAGAAACACCAACTAGCCATGAAAAGATGCCACAACCGGCTGGCTAAAACTAGGTAGGTAAACTAAATGCCTATCCTATTACATGACCGCCATCTAAACCGGTTGAAGATATCCCGAGCTACCATCTCCCAACGGAAAGATCCAGTAACCAAATGCTCCCTGGCCTCCGTCGGGGTGAGTAGCGACCACGAACAGATCAGTGCCGTAGTTCGGAATATAACCTGCAAAAAGTGGATACATGATATTCTGTTAAAAACCAAATTATTTCTGCAAGTCCAGATAGTCCACATCAAAGCGCAAACACCAACCCGAATGTGTCTCGCTAAGTCAGGCTCAATCCCATTAAGCCATGTCCCAAATAATGCGTTAACAAAATTCGGTGGATTGATATTAAAAGCAATGTGGACCGTCTGCCAAAGTACTTTGGCCAACGGGCAATCAAAAAGGAGGTGTTTGATTGTCTCATCCCGATCACAGAAACTACACCTAGTAGGTCCTGTCCAATTACGCTTTATCAAGTTGTCCTTGGTTAAAATAACTTGTTTATGGACAAACCACATCAAGTTCATATCATTGAGACTATGAACTGCATATATAAAGTGTTCAGTTTCTTGACTACTATTCAGAATTATTTGGGCTCAAGTATGATTTGTTGACATCATCTAACGAGTGTAATCTTGTCTCCCTTTATTTCAGCTACATGAATCTAGCGTTGATCCTGCAGCTGATGTGGAGTTTGGGCCTTGCTTGTAAGGATATCTTTGCTCTAAGGAATAAAAAGGATCTTCACACCCCAGATAATCTATTCATTATTGTTATGGTTGACTGGGTAAGTCGTTCAATTTATCTCTTCTATTGTCCATGAGCTACGTCTGAATTGACTGAAGGCATGCACTGAAGCAATTGAACCCAGATTTTTTATCATTAGTTCTTACGAACCAAAATTCAGGTTATGTGCAACTCGTGATTTTCTATCGGCCAAGTTCTTGTTCTGCCTCCTTCTCTAAGAATAAGGTAGTCTTAAAGAGATTTGTTTGCACAAGCACTCCATCGAACTTTGCTGATGAATTGTCCATTTGAGCAAGAAATTTTAGCAACCAATATGCTTTGCATGACTTTTTGGTCAACCAACGGTATAGTTTATCAAAGGTTCTTTTTTCCTGTTATTAGAACTAATGGCTGTCATTTCTCACAGCCAAAGTTGTTACATCTCACAAGCATAGTCCAGATACCCTGTGAAATCAATTTTTTTACTCGAGCAGTTCTTGGAATCTTGAGCTAGCAAAGGTCTATTTGAGTGAAAACATCAATTGTGAACGCATTGCAGGTCGTGGCGACTTTCATGTTCTCAGGAGCCTGTGCCTCCGCGAGCTTGACAATTTTCTTCATGTGGGATGTGAACTTCTGCGAGACATACTCGAAGCTGGCCTGCCGGCAGTTCGTGCTTTCGGTCGTCCTGGCGTTCATCACGTGGTTGCTGCAAGCTGCGTCTTCTTTCTCCGCGTTCTGGCTACTGGTTTCGTTCTCCTAGTGATCTCACACGCTCATATTTGCCGTCACGTCATGCTAGTCAGTCAGGAGGATAAATTGGTTGCAATGTGCTCGGGACACTTGCTAGATTTCAGTTATGGGTAGTCCTTCGTCCCTTGTTAGATAGATGTTGCCTGTTTGATAGTAGCTCATCTTTATTCTAGGAGTTGGTTATCAGCTCCTTGAGGTGGAGTAGTTACTGTTTAGATGATGTGCAATCAATTAATATATGGAGATAAGTTGCGATCGATGATACCTGAAAAATGTCTGGTTATTGTACAATGGAATGAGTTCATATCTCTTCGTGTGGCTGGGACCAACCGTTTCTGGTTGCTTCGCACAATGAACAAGCCTTTCTTTTGTTGCCAAGCAATGTAGACATGTAGTCCTCGTCATAGTTAGGAAGTCGAATACTAAGGATATCTTCTTCATCTAGAGGCATGAAAAATTGTTTGACCCTGTCCTCCTTCCAAGTATGGGTGTCATGGTCTATTAAGTCTGCCACCCACCGAGTACGAGTGTTGTAGGGCTTATGTTAATTTTCAGATTTCTTCTTGGGATCCAATTGTCCCTCCATAAGCGAACAGTGCGGCCATCACAAATACGCCATACAGACACTTTCTTGAGCAACTCCAAACCATGCATGATGCCTTGCCATTTTGGAGATGCATTTCGAATAAATGCCGAGTCTAGTAGATCAACCCCAGGATAACATTTAGCCTTCATAATCCTGTCACATAGACTGTCAGGGAAGCCAAGCTTGTCTAGCGAGGTGAGCTTGGTTAAAATGTTTGAGGCCCTAAGGAGTTTAGTTGGTCTTTGTTGGACCTTTCATGCTATTAGTGTTTGATTCATTGATATATAAAATATACCTCACTCCTTTGGTTTAGTTATTTCATTCGTGTCGATATTTCATTCATAGAAAGATCGATCTGCAAGTGGTAGCAAGGCTTTTCCACTGCTCATCTTCCTATAATTGTTTGCTTACTCCGTCCCTCAATCTCTGATTTACGCAATTGCTCGTTGTCAATATCACCCTTGAGAAATTCCACTAGTTTGGTTCGCTTCGTGTACAAGAGTTCTTGCTTCCAAACCTTGTATCTGTTTGGTGACTCATAAGGTTTCGGATCTAGGATTGAAAAGGACAATCTCGTGGGACACTGAAATTTTCGGTTACTGTGGTAACCAAAAAATACCAGGCGATTACCGAGCGATTTTTTTGAATGAATTTTGAATCCAGATAAAATTCATTCAAAATTCAGTCAAATTTCATTCAAATTCAAAAAAAATGAGATATTTTGCTCGGTAAGGTGATTGCTTGTGGAATACTGGGATATGCGGTTATTGCCCGATAACCGATTTTTCCGCTCAATGTCAAAACCTTTCTCATAATTAATGGAAGCTAAGGGAATGCAAAAGAGACTTCCAAATATTAAGGCTTAACTTTTTCCCTATGTCAAACTTTCACATGTTTATCCAAATATATAGAATAACTATCATCAATTGTAATACCCAGTTAGTACACTGTGACTATATTTTACAATAGATCTAATGCTGATTTCAAGAGTGTTAGATTTTTTTTCTACAATTTGGTCAAACTTACAAAATTTTGATGTTCTACAAAAGTTATATTTTGAGATAACTGGTGTATAAAACGGATAATCTCTTTCGAAGTATCAGTGTTTCATACGGAAACTCGTCTGTTACAAAGGGATTTCATTTTTTTAAACTTATTTGAACTCCATAGTTTTTCTGTGTTTAAAATGCACCATTCAAAGCCACATCATCAATTCTCAACCCTTTCTGACTTCATTTACTATTTTTCATGCATTTACTGATTTTTTCCAGCTATAAGACCCTGAAATTGAAAAGCACTACAAATAAACTCTGAAAAGGTTGAAAGTTGGCATGATATCATCATTTCACCCACATAGCATGTGCAAGAAAGTAGAGAGGCTTACGGCAAAAACTGGATGCACTTCGTGTATAAAACGGACAATATCTTTCGAAGTATCAGAGTTTCATACGGAAACTCGACTGTTACAAAGGAATTTCTTTTTTTTTAATTTATTTGAACTCTATAGTTTTTCTGTGTTCAAAATGCCCCATTCAAAGCCACATCATCAATTTCAACCCTTTCTGACTTCATTTATTATTTTTCTTGCATTTACTGATTTTTTTCAGCTATAAGACCCTGAAATAAAAAAACACTACAAATGAACTCTGAAAAGGTTGAAAGTTGGCATGGTATCATCATTTCACCCACATAGCATGTGCAAGAAAGTAGAGAGGCTTACGGCAAAAACTAGATGCACTTCGTGTACAAAACGGACAATCTCTTTCGAAGTATCAGGGGTTTCATATGAAACTCGTCTATTACAATGGAATTTATTTTTTGAACTTATTTGAACTCCATAGTTCTTCTGTGTTCAAAATGCACCATTCAAAGTCACATCATCAATTTTTAATCCTTTCTAACTTCATTTGTTATTTTGCATGCATTTACTGATTTGTTTTCAGCTATAAGACCCTGAAATTGAAAAGCACTACAAATGAACTCTGAAAAGGTTGAAAGTTGGCATGTCATCATTTCACCCACATAGCATGTGCAAGAAAGTAGAGAGGCTTACGGTAAAAACTGGATGCACTTCATGTACAAAACGGAAAATCTCTTTCCAAGTATCAGTGTTTCATACGGAAACTCGTCTGTTACAAAGGGATTTTATTTTTCTGAACTTGTTTGAACTCCATAGTTTTTCTGTGTTCAAAATGCACCATTCAAAGCCACATCATCAATTTAGTACCTATAGCTCTCATGAATAGATAAGTGACCAAATTAATAAAAGTTCATCATCACATTAAAAACAAAGTACATACATAATTCTCATTGAACAACATATAGCTCTCCAGAGCATGTAGTTAAACCATACATTGAAACTATGTAAAATCTTTCAATGCAACAACAAATGCGATCATAATCACAACCAAGGTAAAACTTGATCCAACGACATAATGATACAAAGCCTCGGTATGAATGGCATATTTTCTAATCTTTTTAATCTTCAACCGCATTGCATCCGTCTTGATCTTGTGATCATCGACGACATCCGCAACATGCAACTCCAATATCATCTTCTCTTCCTCATTTTTTTATTTTTTCCTTCAAGTAATTGTGTTCTTCTTCAACTAAATTTAACCTCTCGACAATAGGGTCGGTTGGAATTTCCGGTTCAATTACCTCCTACATAAATAAAATCTATGTCAACTTGATGGGCATAATTGTCATAAACAATAAATGAACCAAATAGTTATAAAAGATAATATTTACCACATCCGAATCATAGTCAGGACGGGGGCCGACGGCGGCGGATACCAAAACCATCGCACTATATAATAACAAGCAATAATAAAGGTAAGAAAATTAGGCAAGTATCTATCTAAAGTAAGAATTTTTTTCTTTCAGAAGAAGATAAGAACAAGAGGCTCACCATGGTGGTACAGGCGACGAGATCGGTGCGGGCTATCGACGGCGGTGAAGACGGGGACGGGACGTGACGGACCGCTAAACCTAGACAAATCTCGAGGAAAGTGGAGCTTGGAGGTCGAGCTTCAGAGGAGAAAGCTTAACTAGCGTGGCTCGGGCATTTCATTGAACACCTCATGTGCATAGGAGGTGAGCTAGAGCACCCAAATGCCCTCTCCTCGCCGGACAGAAAAAACAGAGCACTGTGGAGTGCTCTGCTGCGGCGACGGGGTATATATAGGCAACTCATTTGTCCCGGTTCATGGCTAGAACCGGGACTAAAGGCCATCCTTCTGTCCCGGTTCCTTTCACGAACCGGGACCAATGGTTGTGGGCCAGGAGGGAGGCCCATTGGTCCCGGTTCATGCCATGAACCGGGACAAATGGACCCAGACGAACCGGGACCAATGCCCACGAGGCCGCGGCCGCCCCCCTGGGATCACGAACCGGGACAAATGCATCCATTGGTGCCGGTTCATGGCAGAACCGGGACTAATGGGCTGGCCAGGCCCGAACGAAAGCCCCTTTTTCTACTAGTGTGCCTACTAGTGACTGAATGTAAGAAATTGTGAAATCTTTTGTTTAATGTGTTTACGCAGGGAATGAGCCCAAACATGGAAGAATTTCATCACATAGAAGGAAACACAAAGTGAGGGATCAAATGCATGGCAAAAGGAAACACGGGAAGGGAAACAAAGTCGAATACGACACATGGTACGAGCGCACCCGCTCTTACCAACGGTCGTACTTCTCACCTTCAGAACCAGGGCGTCCAACCATGACACTTCATAAAAGGGGCCATGTCTAATTCACAACAAAGGAGAGCCATTCATCCAAACAAAGAACCAGAAGCCGTCTACAAACCCTAGCCATTGCCATTTCCTATCTCATCTCCATGGCCATCACAAGCATAATCACCCAAACCATCTCTCTCCAAGTTAGCCATACTTGTAACGAATGTGTAGAAATCGGCAACATTGTAAGACATATTATCAATCAATCATTCATCGTATGTTGTCTTCGATGATTTCTTCTTGCGATCCGATCGTCATGTCTTAGTAGTTCCTTAAGGCAAAGGCTTAAGGTAAGGCCTTGCAACCCTACGTATTTGTGGACGGCATTGTTGGAATGACTTTGATTGATTGACATTATTTGTACGCGTGATTCGCAACAGAGTTGTATTTTGTCTTCTTCTCGTTCTAAGGCCCTGCAAGTACCCAGGATCCAATAGATCAATCACGGAGGAGGTAAGAAGCGGGGATGTGTGGAATGCTGTTATGAAAACTTGTGACACAAAGGATTAGTACGATAGCAGAAAGCAACCCTTGGGGATAAATGAGGTGTAGTCATTAAACTCCAACACTTTGTTCTGAATTAATTCTTAATAACCGAGTAATCCGGTGCGATGACAAGAGCCATCGGTTGGACAACTAAATTTTGATGTAGGTCGCGAGCCATTCAAGACGTACTTTGGACAC